ACATTGTGTACATTTTTAGTAAATAGTGTGAATTCATATTAAATCGCTTAAAGGCAATTTTTAGTATATTGTGTAAAGTGAAATTTTAGTAAATAGTGTAAAGTGAATTTTTAGTGAATAGGGTAAAGTGAATTTGTAATAAATCATGTAAAGGGAATTTTTAGTATATTGTATAAAGTGAAATTTTAGTAAATTGTGTAAATTTTTAGTAAATAGTGCAAAGAGAATTTGTAATAAATAGTGTAAAGTGAATTTTTCGCCCACTAAAAATCACTTTTACACCTAACTCCGCTTTGAGGAGTTAAGTGTAAAAGTGATTTTCTCCTGAGAGCGGGCTTTTTGCGTGTGGTGATGGCGCTGGGTGCGGTGCGGGCCCTCGGCAGCGGATGTGGTGGCCCCTGAGGCGGCCTACGAGAGAGAACTCCGCGCATCAGAGAAAAGACATGGCACATTTCCAAGAAAAGTCAGCGACACGCACTAGAAAAAAGGGAAGCGGCATCAAAGTCTGTAATGCGGCACCACTGTTGACTTCACCGAAGCGTTACCTCTCTGTGTGTGTGTGTGTGTCTATGTGTGTGTGTGTGTGTGTGTGTGTGTGTGTCTATGTGTGTGTGTGTGTGTCTGAGAAACAAATGCATTATCAGCATTAACATAAATAATTCCAAAAACACACAGATTCATCAGGTGGTATTAACCAGTTTAATTAACCCTGATTACGATTAAAAACAACACAAAAAATGAACAAAAGAAGAATTAAACGTTACATTATGTTATTAAAACTCAACCTGTCATTATGAGCTGTGGAACCACAAAAATAAAGAAAGAAGCAAGGTAAGGAGAGAGAGAGAGAGAGAGAGAGAGAGAGAGAGAGAGAGAGAGAGAAAGAGCATTACACAATAAAGCAATACACGGTTTCTTTTCAAATTATGTAATCCCACAAATGAAAAAGAAAAGCACAAGATCAAGAGAACAGGAACGTTACAAAATAACAATTATATGACATGAATGGAGTTAAAATCATACGCACGCCCCCCCCCCTCTACCTCCATCCGCTAGCGTCGGTCTCCATTATAACAGCCTGGAATATAATTACAGTTTTTAGTTATTATCTTACAAATTGAAAAAGTTTCAAATGTTACACGTATAACACATGGTCGGGTTAACGGATGAGAGAGGCTGCTCTCTGTTCAGTGACGAACACAAACAGACGACTATAACATGAGGGGAAAAAAGGAATTCAGAAAACAAGTGATAATCATGAAGAACAGTAACGCTGACATCAGAAAAAAATACAAAGGTAATGCAAAATGAACCTGTTAACAAAAAACGTCCCTCACTCCGAGACCCGCTGACCTGGGAGCAGCCAGTTGTTGTTCCGAGTAGCCCCAATTAGAGCTGGATTAGCTTTACCTGGACAGGTTCTGTAATTTATGCAATTATGGCCAAAATCTGTGGTTTTTATCCAGTATGAATCTGCAGTGTGTGTAGGTTTACAGTCTGACAGTAATAATTGTGCAGTGATTTTAATCCAGTATGAATCTGTTATGTGTACAGTTTTGTGGGTATTTTTAATCTACCGTGTTTAATCTACTTCAATCCATGAATCTACTGTGTTTATTTTTACAAGAGTAATAACTGAAGTGATTTTAATCCAGTATGAATCTGCAGTGTGTGTATTTTTACAGTCAGTAATAATTCTGGGTATTTTTAAACCAGTATGAATCTGTTATGTGTGTACTTTTGTGGGTTTTATTTCAATCCAGTGTGAATCTGCAGTGTGTGTAGTTTTACAGTCTGACTGTAATAATTGTGGAGTGATTTTAATCCAGTATGAATCTGCAGTGTGTGTAGTTTTACAGTCTGCTGGTGATAGTTCTGGAGTGCATGGCTTTCTGTAACCGGCTGAGCTTCCTCAGTAACTGTAGTCCTGTTCCAGTCTACCTCACTGATGATAAACATGGTCATGTGTTGTTATTGTTATTGAATGTGACACAACTCACTCAATCACCTGAACATCTGGGTTATGATCCTTTAATCCAGACTATCTGCTGCAATTTGGTGAAATGACGGTGCGTTCAGATGTTCCTTGAGTTTATCTCAAGTTTGCGCCCAGCTGAGAATGTCGTAAATAATTCGGAAACTCAAGTGATAAACACAGATGGCAGGTGAGCTAAGTTTGCGAGTTTGCATGTATCACCAGCCTGGAAATTCTCTGTTACCATGGCAACACAGTAGACCAATCTGGCTTTATGTATGTACACACAGTTCATGTGATAAATTTAAAGAACTGGCAGTTACGATGCGACAGTTCTCCAGTGAGTCGACGAGGACTGTCCGAACTCACCACAATTCGAAAAAATAACACGTGCTTTATTCTATGTGAATTGGCCAATCAAATGACTTAGAAATGACCAAACGTCGTTCTAGTGAAACTAATCCAGCTCAAACAGGGTTTCACTCGGCCAGTAAGAGCAGCCTGAGTCCGTCAGCGTGGCCTCAACAAACCATTCAATGGGTCATAACGGAGGGCGGGATAAGTAGTCGAGAGAAAAGCTGATTGGTTGAAGACGGAGTAAGGCAACTGTCAGTTCCATAAAGAGTACTTGGAGGGACAGAGGAGGTGAGGACGTGTAGCCATGGAGGCCGCCAGTTCCGTAAAGTTAAATACTGTACAGTGTGAACAATATGCCCAATAGGATCCTCTGACATCACGTGACTTCCTCTTCTTGCAGCTCCTGATAGGCCCTCCTGATTGATTGACTGGGTCAATGCTGTGCTCAAGTGTTCTCCCCAAAGGGCTTCAGTTCACAGAACCTTCCTGCGGCCCCACAGCGCTGAATTCTGAGCTTTTCCGCAGCCCAGGGGACGAACGGATAAAACAAATAGACAAATAAAGACATACGCGCACTTGCGTACACACTTGCGTACACACTCGCGCATAGAGCTGGCATGTTAACAGAGCATGGCGGTGAAAAGAACTTGCATCAGACGAAGTTAAGAGCTCTGCTCGGTGCGATTCTGTCTTTCGCTCTTTGTCCCTGTCATAAATATATACAAAAAAAAGAGAAAATCCCCCCCCAGAAAACACAAATACACCAAATAAACCTACAGGACTCCAGTCCTGACGAGGTTAAACCTCTTTCAGAGACGATCACTTATGGTTTAATGCTATGGTTTTACAACTGCAGCCTGGTGTACTCAGTTAAAAATGTAACAGGCCTACATATTCAGCAGAGGTCTTTCGGATCCTGAATCCAGTTTCCGGTCCTGGATTCCGTAATCACCGGCAGTTAACTGAACTGCTGATGCTCACTGGCCACCTAGTGTTTCAGCTACCAGCAACGATAAAATCCAGGACTGGATTCAAGGTCCGGATTTGAAGACATCTGGTTTCTCGTCTGAGCATATTTAGTTTTCTTCAGTTCTCCTTCTCATCTTGACAGTGTGTCAGAGGTTTTTAGCCTCACGCTGTTATACTAAACCTCAGGCTATCAGTCAGTTGCTTCTTACTGCCTTACAGTCTGGCTCAAACTACACTTCCCACAATTCTGCAGAGGTTCACAAGTGGAATTCCGCCAATTTTTGAAAAATTCTGCATAATTTTGTCACTGAAGTTAATTGCAGAGGAACTTACTGACTCAGATTTATTTGCAGTGGTGGGGACAGGAACCAGGGGTCAACACTGAGTTTTTCTATGTAATGTTTATGGTGGTAAAATAGTCACAAATCCAAGGTTTTCTTTTGTCTTGCAACAAACTGCATGTATGGATGGCTTAAAAAATTTTTTTAGACCAAACCTGTTGCAAAACAGTTCCATTCAGAACCATTTCATGTAATAACTTCCTGTGAGGGAGCTTTTAGGGGTGGACATCTGGTTCCTATCACCACCACTGTGAACAGTTCTGACTCAGCAAGCTTCTCTAGAACTGACATATTTACATATTAACCATTAAATTACACAGACATTTTGAAAAATCGGTGAAGTTCCCCTTTAACAGGTGCTGGTGCTTCAGTTTCGCATCACCACTCAGCAAGTGCGTTCACAGCGTAATGCTGAGCCCTAGTAAGTTTAGAGTTATAGGCAGTGTGTGTGTGCATGAACGCTGAATGCTGGTGCAGTCAGTGCTGTACGATCGAGAAAAACCCTTAAAGGAATATATCACTAATGCTAATGTGGCTGACAATTAATGGAAGCTAGGATTCACCAATTAGCATGATGTCATTTGCATAAAGTGACCAGGTAGCTGTATCACTTCATTCACTGTGAGCAACATTAGCATTTTTGACCAGAACGACTCCTTTGAATACCTTAACTCAGCTTTCCATCCCAGTTAAAAGGCCGCTGCTGTAGCCTGGACTGAATCTCAGCAGTGCTTTACGCCACCGTGGTCAAGAGTCCAGGGAACTGGCCGGCAGACGGGATCAGAGACTGATTCAGAAACGTACACCACCGTTCAGAAGTCTGGAATCACTGTTTTTCAATAATATACAACCACATACATGTATAAAATGATTCTAATTGGATGCTTGTTCAACGTCATAGGTTTAAAAAATTACGTATGGATAAATGCTGTGAACAAAAGCTGTACATCATCAATACAATTCTACTATAATTAATATCCAGAATGGCCTATATTTCAAAAGTGGTGATTAAAGCCAGAGGCGGATAACTTAAAGAAAAATATTACAAATAGATAATTAGGTTCCTACGGAGCCCTGCTGGTGACATCCCATATTAATAAAAATAATGTGTGGCCACGCCTTATTAACGCATGGGAACAAGATTCTTATGCGTGGTTACGCTCTAGTAAGACGTGGGAACGAGATCCTAATGCATGGCCATGACTTAGTAAGGCGTGAGAACGAGATCCTAATGCGTGACCACGACTTAGCAAGGTGTGGGAACAAGATAATTAAGTCGTGGCCACGACTTAGTAAGCCGCGGGAATGAGATCATGCGTTACTAAGTCATGGCCATGCTATAGGATCTCGTCCCCACACCTTACTAACTCGTGGCCACGCATTAGGATCTCGTTCCTATGCCTTACTAAGTCGTGGCCACGCATTAGGATCTCGTCCCTATGCCTTACTAAGTCGTGGCCACGCATTAGGATCTCTTTCCCACACCTTACTAAATCGTGGCCACCACTTAATTATCTGGTTCCTACGTCTTACTAAGTCCTGGCCACGCATTAGGATCTCTTTCCCATGCCTTACTAATCGTGGCCACCACTTAAGTATCTTGTTCCCATGCCTTACTAAGTTGTGGCCATGCATTAGGATCTTGTTCCCACGCCTTACTAAATCGTGGCTGCCACTTCATTATCTTGTTCCCACGCCTTACTAAGTCGTGGCCATGCATTAGGATCTCGTTCAAACGCCTCACTAAGTCGTGGCCGCCACTTAATTATCTTGTTGGCGCGGCTTACTAAGTCATGGCCATGCATTAGAATCTCGTTCCCACGCCTTACTAAGTCGCGGTCACTTAATTATCTTGTTCCCATGCCTTACTAAGTTGTGGCCATGTGTTAGGATCTCATTCCCATGCCTTACTAATTCATGGCCATGCATTAGGATCTCGCTCCCATGCCTTACTAAGTCCTGGCCGCCACTTAATTGTCTTATTCCAACACTTTGCTAAGTCGTGGCCACGCATTATTGTTATTTATACAGGATGTCACCAGTGGGGCTCCGTAGGTTCCACTTTCTTCGGGCAGCCCCCAGAAGATTATCTACACGTTTAAATTATTAGGTGATATTTAAATATATTTAACTGAATGTAAGTGACAAGCAGGCATCCTCGAAGCATCTACACTGGGCTATATAACTAAACTGTTACTGATAAATACGACGTTATATGTAATTGAAAAGTCTTGTTGTTCCCAAAATACCTGATATAATGAATAAATAAACTGAAAAAGTAATAAGAAGCTGAATAAAATTTCAAGAATGATTAACGACGAGTGTTTCCAAACTTTTGAATGGTAGCGCAGCAAGTGCAAAAGACTGAGAACATGCAAAAACCCTCTCTCAGCCAGAGGGAGGAGCAAATCAGTCCTCAAGGCTCTAGAAGCTGCACGCTAGGCCTGAATCCTTCCACACAAACGGAAAAACGCAGGAATGGAATACAACCGTGTTAGATGTGGTCCCAGAGAGAGAAGAAAGCGAGCGAGAGAGACTGAGAGAGAACACAGAGAGAGAGAGAGAGAGAGAAAGACTGCTGAGGTGAGCTGGTTTAGATAAAGATAGAGGAGCTAGATCCTGAGAACTTCCACACAGAAGGATCACACACACACTCTTCCAACGATCCGGGCTTGGCTTCCCAAAACTGCCACAGAACAATAATCGTCGTTATAACTTGTTATAAGCTGCAGTTATAAGTTTGTACACCTCTGTTTCTACCATATAACATCACTGAGGGAAATGAAGCCCATGTGAATGACTGGGGGTGGGGGGTGTTACTTGTATGTAGGCGTGTTTGTGTGAGTGTGTGTGTGTGTGCGTGTGTTCGTGAAGGGTCCCTGAGGGATTTGGCCAGGCTGGTTAAATTGTGTGTCTACAGCACAGCTTTACAGAGTCCCTCTCTGAGAGTTGAGGACGGGAGCGGTCAGAAAAACGCCCCATCCGAAGCAAAGGGCGGCCACGCCGCGCCGTTCCCGCTGATTGCTGAAGTCCACGATCTCCGATCGTCCGATCTCTCTCGCTCTATCGCTGCTGTCTGTGGGGGCTTTGCAGGCACTTCACTGAATAAAAATTCCTTTCACAAATAAAAATTGTCCTCCAGTGCCAAAGGTCAAACTCCTGAGGGTCAGCGGCGTGTGTATGTGTCTTCCTCCTTCGTCACCTCGTGACGCGGCAAAGTGTGCACTCGTAGTCCAGAGAAGAGAGAAGAAGCGGGGCAGTGGATCCTGGTCAGTTTCGTATCTGGGCTGCTTTTCAGGTCTGTGAGTGCTGGTGTGCGTTCGTCTGTCAGTATCATTGTTCTCTAAAAAGGCCACGTCCATCTGCAGAGTCCGTATGAACGTCAGCGGCCATTGTTCTAGAGCATTAGGTGCATATATATATATATATATGCGTGCTGAAGTTCTAGGCCACCTGAGAACATTGTTTTTAAAGCTATGTATCTGGGCAGTTGTATTTTTGCCTGAGGAAAAACATTAAGCGCTAATTAACACTGATACAATACAATGGGAGGCATGGCAGGTCAAAGCCTTTTGATTTTACAGGTGTGAGGCTATTAGATAAACCAAAGCCCTCCTTAAAGAACTCCACTATTTATAGGCATCATCTAGTTTCTGAAGTATCTTACCAATACTTCAGTCAATTAAATTCGATGTGCTGGTGATGGAAATTTACAAATCCAGGAGGAACGAGGCTGGAGGAACTTCTAGGAACTTCCAGCCAGCTCACAACACAGAAATAATAGTGCTGGAGCCTTTTGTTAAATTTTAGATTTTTTACTTTTAATGTATCGCTGCATAATTCACCTGTTAAGATGTAAACAGATATATATATATATATGGCTGTTGTGAGAAGAAAGCATTGTATCTCCAAATTGGTAACTTTACAGGAGAAGGAAAAAACCTACTTCACTTTTAATGTAAGTCAATGGAACCAGACTTTTTTCCTATCATTTTGGGCTGTTTCTTTTGGTCCATTCATCATGAAATTTACAAACAATGTAAAAGGCAACAGGCATTTTCAAATGATGTCAAAAACTAAAAAAAAACGAAAAATGGAGATTTTCTTCCGACAACAGCGATATTTACGTTTACATTTTTTTTTCTAACCATCTCACAAGATGCCAATAACCAATACTACCAATAACTTTCCTGAAAACAGGACTGCAAAAAATGATATCTTGACAAGTGGTTATTTCAATCTGGACTAAAAAATATCAAATATTTAGTAATGTTTTGTATAATATGTAAGCGGATTGTATTTCAGAATGAAGCCATTTCATCGGGCAAAAAAAAAAAGTCTTATTCTGTTGGCAGATAATGTTGTTCGTTAAAGTCTGCAAAACAAATCTGCATTATGCCTTAAAACAAGCTTCTCTGCCAATAACAGAATGATGATTTCTCTAGATGAAATGGCTTAAAACAAGGAGAAATATTAGATACACCGACATGATTTATGACTATCAGGGTAGCAGTTCAAGCACTTTTTATTGTTATCATGTTTGTCTGTATTCATGCCAATGTTCTACAGTGTTTTCCTGCCCAGATAAACAGCTTTAAACCGTCTTCTTGATTGGCCTTAGACTGTTTCAGAGATTTCTATGTCAGCAGTCATTCTGAACAGGGAGCCCCTTTTGCGTGTGTGGGCATCAGCAGTCTTTGTTCTCCAGAGAGAGCTGGGCCGTGGCACGGTGCAGTTCGGCGCTCACCTTGCGGTTACTGTGCGGGGGGGAGTTTTCGCCCTCTCCGCTGCCACTCTCCTCCCTCTCCTCCCTCTCTCCGTTCCTTTCCTCCCCTCTCACCTTCTTGTCCTCTGCCTCCTCCGTGTGCTGCTCCTGGTCCCAGCGCCGTTTGAACCTCAGCTTCAAGGGGATGCATTGCGAGGGGGCGGGCGTGTGGGAGTGGCCAGTCGAAGCCGGGGGCGTGTCCGGCTCGGTCTTCACCACAGGGCCACCTCGGGAAGAGGAGGCAGGGCCGAAGAAGAGCGGGGGCGGGGCCGGGGCTTTGAAGACGTCCTCCTCCAGATCGTCATAGTGCAGGGGCGGGGCGGCCGTTCCGTTGGACTGGCGCTTGAAGGCGTGAGGGTGATGATGATGATGATGGCGACGGTGGCCGGAGAACAAGCCGAACTCTTCGTATCGTTCGTCCGCTTCCTCGTCGCTGATGTCAGTCACTTCCACCTCCTCCTCCGATTCGATGTCAGAGATGGGCTCCACCTGCACAGCGAAGTCGCGGCGAGAGACAGAAAGACAAACAGAGAGACGGAAAGAAAATGCATGAAAATATCTTATTGGCTTTTGAACTGCCATTGTTGTAACCGTGTAATTACTCTTGTTAATAACAAATCCAATTATTTCCTGTCCTTTTTAAAGCTGTCGATAATACACTGAATGCAGTTATGCTTATGAAGCTAGAGAGAGAGAGAAAAGCATTAACATAGGCCTTAATTGCACTCTACACATAAATTAGGTGATAACCTGGATGATAAAATCATGACAATTTTGTTTTTATTATGTAGTATGATGTATAAATCATATTTCGGACAAAATGATCATGCCATTTCGTCTCTCAATCGAATCTTAACAGCAAAGGCTTCAACTTTGAACTACTGCTAGGTGGCAATATGCACCTTTTATTCTCTAGACTGAAAGAGAGAAGAAGTCTAACCATTCACTCAGGACAGCAAAACCCAACAGGACAGTTAGCAGAGTTAGCTAGAGTTAGCTTTTATTCAGGGACGAAGATATAGAGAGAAAAAAGGCTCTACGTCTAGGATACGTTTTCTCAAATCAGATACAGAGTAATTCGGTAATGCAACCAGTGTGCTTTCCCTCTAGGTCCAATACATTACTCAGACAAAAAACTGAGCTTTAGGAAATGTACATAAAAATAATCAATAATTCCTGATACTGACACATAAAAATACATTGTGAGATTTGTGGTCATATCACCCACCCCTGACAACTACTCTGCCTGAGGGTATGTGGCTGTAAAACAGTGCAGGTCAAGGTTGAGGTGTGTACCTTGATCTTGGGAAGGCCGGCGCTGTTGAGCGAGCCGCTGGAGGAGGAGTTGGAGACGAGCCCGGAGCCGCTAGCCGAACTCAGGTCGCTGCCGAAGGAGAGCGAGGAGCCGAGGCCCGAGGTGGAGCTGGAGGAGAGCGAGCCCTGCCGTCCCTGAGCCTCTCGCAGCTGTTTCCGACCGAGCGGCGGCGGCTGCAGCTTGAACTTGAAGGACGAAGAGTGATGTGGCTCGTCGGCGGGGGCTAGAGGGTGGGCGGCGACCGCTGGGTGGGGGTGGGTGTGACCTGGGGGCGGGCCCGACAGGCCGGAAGGTAATTGGGCGGTGATTGCGCCCCTCTCGGCTCCGGGAATGGCCTTGTCAGGCCTCTGCGGCTGTGGCACGATGATGTTGGGGTAGTGGAAAAAGGCGCGAGGGCTGAGGTGGTAGTTGTAGACGCTCTGCGTGTGCGCCTGCAGGTAGCGCTGCATATCCTCGGGGTTAAAGGAGAAGATGGAGCCTGGCATGGGCGAGAGAGTGGGCGAGGGAGTGTAGGGTAGGTGCGACCCACCGGGGGTCATGGACAGGGCAGGAGAGAGAGGGGGCGGAGCCAGCAGGGCTGCTGAGCCACCAGGCGTTGCCAAAGGCGACGCAGGGAAGGGCGATAGCGGCTCCGGATGAACTCGGTGACCTGAGACCTCTGGCCCACGGTGAGCCCGATGACCCCCGGCTCCGCCATACATTCTGAACATGGCTTCGTGGGACAGGCGCGGGTGGACGGCACCACGGAAGCCGCCTGCTCTCTCAGCCGCTCTTTCAGAAGCCCGCTCCTCGCCAAGGCCACCGCCGTTACCCTCCTCAATCTCGGAGTTGACGGAGGTTCCGTCGCTGCAGTCGGAGACGGAGCCACGGGCCACCCGGCGGCCCACAGTGCCAAAAACGCCTGGACTGCGAAGCTCCTCGCTGCTGGGGGAGAGTACCTCCGAAGGGGTTGAGGGGGGGAAACGGAAATGAGTTCCAGCACCTGTAGGCACTGGGGGAGCACTCTGAGGAACACCAACACCTAGAGAAAGTGAGAGATATATATATAAAAATCAACGATGTAATTCTCTTATAAATTTGGTTCTTTTGGAAATGACAAATGTGACTGGAGGAACCATTTACTATGCATAGCCTGAGCATTTTATTTTGTTTGACATGTTTAATTGCATATTAGTCACTGATTTTAATATTCCAAATTGATGCAGCTGAATTCAAAATGATGCATCGTGATGCAGCCATGCATTTTTACACCCGTAATGTAAATGAGACAGACAGCGTGAGATGGGAAAACATTAAGTTGTGCGTGTCAGTGTGTGTAGGAGTGCAAAACACAGTGAGTAGGCAGTTTGCGTTTGTGTGTGTGTGCATTCATGCGCGTGTCAGGTTTGCGTAGGAGTTTAAAAGAAAGTAAGTAGGCAGTGTTTGTGAGCGTGTGGACACCCTGTACCTGCGGACCCCATGTCTATGAAGGGGTAGTTGACGAGGACCAGCTTGTTGAAGTTGAACTTGTAGGTGAAGCGTTTTCCTTTAGTTTTGTGCAGGATCCTCTTGTTGTAGTAATACCTGCAGAAACAGACAAATACATGACTCTGGTGTACAATAAAGCACTAAGCCTTAAGCGACCCTGGGTGAGAGTGGCTGTGCCACAGTTAAGGGATGTTGTTATGGAATGGAGTGTAAAAATACCCTTAACTGTGGTAAATATTATTGTAATGATTACACTGTAAAGGAAAATATGCATTTCCATTTTTTTTCATTTGTACTTTTCTTAGAACAGCAACAATATTTTCTTAAGGTCTTTGAGATGCGTCAACTCTATACTCCATCAGAGGGCAGTGTGGAGCGTGTGTCTTATGTTTTGATCAGATATGTTTATGTCTTGAAATTCTTTGTTTACTCCAAAGATGAAAGACTTCTGCAGCCGGCTAAAGGGTATCAGATAGTACCAAGTCCAACTATAGCACATACTGTGCTCTGCAGAAAAACATCAAGCTCACTGTACACTAGGGCTGCTCAATCGTGGCAAAATTATAATCACGATAACAATCACGTCCATATTGAGATCATAAGTATTTAACACAATTATTGACTTTGGAAACATCATGCATTTGTTTATTAAACTTTTAAATTTTTTTTTTTTTAACAGATTGAATTTCAGGCGATTAAACAAGCTGGCTGTGTTGCCTTGTGGTGCAGACACCACTGTCTAACACATCTTGCACAGTATTTGTTGCTGTTCCTCGTCGGACTCCTTGAAACCAAAGAGTTTCCAAACAGTTAAACAGGTTTCACCTTCCTTGTTGACCAAAGGCTCGCTGCCATCTTGGCTCGAGCTGAACTAAACAGGCCACAGCCTGGCTGAGAGTGAGTCTGGGCTTTTCGTCTTGTGGATTTATAAATGGAGTATGGCACAGTAATCTTTTTATCTCAATTATCTTGTTTTCATTATCGCTGGAAGCCGAAATTGTAACTGAAAATAAATTTTGATTTACAGTCCAGCCCTATTTCACACCACACTCATATAGATTTAATGAAATAAGACTTTAAACATAATTTGATTGGTGAAATACGAAATGGCATGCTAATAATATTAGCTGAGGTGTCTACAGTTACCTGTAATTTGGCCAGGGGTGCCCAACCTTTTGCATGTGACTGTAAATAAGGAATGTTTATGACATGCTATGGTTGCATAATCGTTCCTTAATACAGAATTCAATGCATATCAAACAGAACTCCACCAATATATAAGCTGGCCAGTTATATTGACTGATATCTACGACAAATGGCTTCATTGTTACCAGCGAAACGTAACGTTCTTATAACCTGTGCATCAATAAAAAATTTGCACGTGCATGTGGTCATATACATCGACCAGGCATTCTGACCACCTCCTTGATTCTACGCTCATTGTCCATTTTATCAGCTCCACTTACTATATAGGTGCACTGTGTAGTTCTACAGTTACAGACTGTAGTCCATCTGTTTCTCTGATACTTTGTTAGCCCCCTTTTACCCTGTTCTTCAGTGGTCAGGACCCCCATGGACCCTCACAGAGCAGGTACTATTTGGGCGGTGGGTCATTCTCAGCACTGCAGTAACACTGATGTGGTGGTGGTGTGTTAGTGTGTGTTGCGCTGGTCTGAGTGGATCAGACACAGCAGTGCTGCTGGAGTTCTTAAACACCTCAGTGTCACTGCTGGACTGAGAATAGTCCACCAAACAGAAATATCCAGTCAGCAGCGTCCTGTAACCACTGATGAAGGACTAGAGGATGACCAACACATAATGTGCAGCAGCAGATGAGCTATCGTCTCTGACTCTACATCTACAAGGTGGACTGACAAGGTAGGAGTGTCTAATAGAGTGGACAGTGAGTGGACACTGTTCAAAAACTCCAGCAGCACTGCTGTGTCTGATCCACTCGCACCAGCGCAACGCACACTAACACACCACCACCACGTCAGTGTTAATGCAGTGCTGAGAATGATCCACCACCCAAATAGTACCTGCTCTGTGAGGGTTCATGGGGGTCCTGACCACTGAAGAACAGGGTAACAAAGTATCAGAGAAACAGATGGACTACAGTCTGTAACTGTAGAACTACAAAGTGCACCTATATAGTAAGTGGAGCTGATAAAATGGACGATGAGCGTAGAAACAAGGAGGTAGTCATAATGTTACGCCTGATCGGTGCACCTGCATATCAAATACAGGCTGACCAATATATCAGTTGGCTGATAATACCGACTGATACTGACGACACACGATTTTATCGGCATCACAAAATGTAATATTTTTATGATATAAAAAGTTATACATTAATACAGAATGAAACTGATGTGTGAGGTCATACTCTGACGTAACATGCCTGTCGCTGAGCCTAGTCTGCCAGGATAAGCCCCACCCCCTCATCACCCACTTCACCCTGATTGGACGCACCTATACATCTAGTTTTGATCACTGACAATGGTTTCCACAATTTTTTGATACTATACAGAAGTCGTTACAACCTTTACTCACGCCTGTTCCACAAGAGGCAAAAACCAAAGGGGTAAGTGTGCACAGAGGTGGGCGATATGGGAGGAATCGAATATCGCGATACTTTCACGATACATGATATGTCACAATATTGATTTCTGCAAACATCTAATCAATTGGAACTGAGAAAAAAGAACCAATCATGCTACATTAAAAAAAAAATACTATCAAAAATGATTTTTATCCAATATTTATTCAATATTTCACAGACTGTGTTGCTCTAAATCTAGTTAAACGGGACTAATTTTGCTCTCTTAATAATGAAACCTGCAGTTCAGTGTTCTAGAAGTACCTAAGATATCCACAATATGTTCAGACAAGTATAATGTATTGTATCGTGACAAAATTGATCACAATACCGATATATTTTCATATTGCCGAGCCCTAAATGTGCATACTAAGCACAGCCTGACCAATCGGTTAGATGATAATATAAGCTGATACTGACAACTGTACCAGCAAAACAGTAAGTGAATAAAGTAAATAAAAATAATCTAAAATATCAAATTATATCTGCTTACTATCAGTATCCGTTTTCAGCCCCTCAAAATCAGTATCGATACCCGCCCCATTTTCAAACTGGCCAAGCCCTAATATAGAACACAGCTTTGAAGGTTTCAGATCTGGAAGTATCCATGAGATACACACATTCGCCCACGAGGTGATGGAGAAATATTACATTACAGTATGAAAAGGAAAGTAATGATGCTGATGCGTCTGTGTTTGGGTCTTGTGAGGATTTCTGTGGTCAGTCTAGTTTTGGTTTATATAACCCACTGATAAATTCCCCCCTTTCTTAATCCTCTTATATAATTCTATTCTCTCTCTGTGTGTCTATATATTAACCTTTGTCCCGATCCAGCTCTTTACATAACATCTCTCTTGTCTTCATAATGCTCGATCTATTTATATAACCCCAAACGCACTACCTCATCCTCGCTGCCGACCAAAAGAGACAGAGAGAGAGAGAGAGAGAGAGAGAGAGAGAGAGAGAGAGAGAGAGATGTGTGCACATCACTTGATCTCCTGCTCTACGGCCTGCAAGCCACTCATTTGAGTGAATGGTAGGTTTAAGCGAAGATGCTGACACAGACTCTTTTTAAATGCTTATAGGATACCTGTGTGTGTGTTTTGGAGGTGATACAGTGGTGGATGAAGTGGAGACAGACGGATAGAGGGAGACACTTGTGGTCTTCTCCGCCTGTGTGTGTGTTTAGCGAGCGAGTGAGAGAGAATTACGGTTATTAAGAGGAGTGGTGAAGACAGGCCCGTTCTTATTATTGTTCGGTAGGACTAACTAGTACTAAGCACCAAAACATACAGGTCATCTTATATTTAGGTTCACAAGAGGACGAGGCTGAAGTTGGTTTTCTATTCACCTGCTTCTTGTTTGAATTTCCCCGTTCCACCTTAAATGGCGGCGGTATTCTGAACTCAAACGTCGCCATAGTTAGAACCGCGAAAGAGTCGTTTGCCAGCATGAAACTTATCATGTCATAGCGTCACGTGGAGCATCCACGACAGGCAACACGAAACCGCTGAAGGTATGCGAGCTCGTAAGCTTTCCGGCTTTGCACGACCCTCGAGAATTTCGTTTTGCAAGAGCTATGCTGAGGCCTTTACTCATGCCTGTTCCACAAGAGGCAAAAACCAAAGGGGTAAGTCTGCACAGAGGTGGGCGATATGGGCAGAATCTAATATCGCGATACTTCGAGCAATTCTCACGATACACGATATGTCACAATATTTATTTTTTCAGACATCTGATCGGTTGGAACTGAGAAAAAAGATGCTACATTAAAAAAAAAAACATTAAAAACCATCAAAAACTGTGAAAACTATGATTTTTATCCAATATTTTTTCAATATTTCACATACTGTGTTGCTCTAAACCCAGTTAAACGGGACTAATTGTGCTCTCTTATAGGATACCTGCATGTGTGTTTTGGAGGTGATACAGTGGTAGATGAAGTGGAGACAGACGGGCAGAGGGAGACACTTGTGGTCTTCTCCGCCTGTGTGTGTGTTTACTGAGCGAGTGAGAGAGAATTACGGTTATTAAGAGGAGCGGTGAAGACAGGCTCTCTCTCGGTTCAGACGAAAACAGATCAGTGGGCCAGAAGACTGAGAGGAGTATCTGTGCATGGGTTGGGGGTGGTGGTGGTGGTGGGGTGGTGTGGAGGTGTGAGACCCACACAGATTGGGTGCTATAACACATTTCCATATGCACCCATTTTTCTTACCACCACTATTGTGGAAACAGCTTTAGGCACCTGCCAAAATAATGGAAACACATGAGAAATGCGGTTTAGGAAAACGAGCACTGCAGCACAGATGGTGTATTAAAGGGGAATTCCACTGATTTTTTTATATTCTTTTTTTTTTTTTAATACTTAGGATGCAAACAAATTCATTCAGAGGTGTTCAGAGTGGTGATGAGAGTGACCAGGACCGGACTGCACCGGTTTTGTGTAAGTTTGTGCAAACTTTAACACGATGGTAACAAGTTCAGAACCAATTTATAA